GGGTAGTAGATACGGCTTCTGACTTCTGGTTAGAGAATGTTGGGAAAGATCTTTTCCTGAAGTGACCACTGGGTGGCAATGGTGGTAGAAGCAGCAGCTGCTGCAGCTATGTCCAGGGACACACTTTTTTTTTTTTGGAGAGGTTTTTGCTATAGGGCGCATGTGCTCACTAGAAAGACGGAGAGACAGAAAGCGAGGAATCACCCCCCAGGGGGGATGGCCACGTCACAGTCTCTTCTACTGCATCCTCCTCTCGGGATATTGGGCATGCACGCACATGTGCCTGGTGTGATTTTAAGCCACTGGGTCCAGGACTCGAACTACGGTCAACTACGTGGGAGTCCAGTGGCATAGCCATTATGCTAACTGCTGGTCCCTCAGGGACACACTTGATAGCAGAGCTAGATCAGGTGAACTATAGCAGAGCTAAGCCAGCTTGAAGCAGGAGCAGCCAGAAGCTGATTCGGGCTGGGAGTTCTCTAGTGTGGTGCTTTTACTTGGGTCTACACAAGACTCAAATTACATGTGTCTTCCACTGAAGAGGCCAGTTTTGGGAGAAAAGTAAGAATAAAAAATAAAACACCTCATAGAATTGCAGCATTTTTTGGTTTACAAAGTGCTTCCACACCTATTAACCTATTCAATACTCAGAAAACCCTAAAAGGTTGGTGTTGTTATCCCCATCTCACTGATGAGGAAACTAGGTTACAAAGTGCCCAGAGTAATACAACTAGTAAATGGAAGAACGAGTATTTAGGCTCAAGTTCATCTGGCTCTGAAAGTCTTGCCCTTTTATGCAATATCATAGTCAGCTCTCTGGGACACAGGTTATGACTGCTTGCTCACTCCTACCTTTCATCCCACCCCTTACCCTGACACAGGGTGAGAATATCCAGGTTTCCACCTTCAGGGTTTTGTGGCCTTCCAGGAGATCTAGATTCTAGAGCCTCCCTTGCAGGCCAGCCTGCCTCCTCTCACTCCCAGGATCTAGGTCCACAACATTCTCAGATCCTGAGGATCAGGTTCAGAGTTCTCATTGTGTCTCAGCTCCAGTCAGAGTGGATTCTGCTCCAGCCTGTTCTCCTCTCAAGAGCACTGCATACTTCACCCTCAGAGTCCTCTAGACCCAGACTTTACCTCCTGTGACTTAGACATTTATACTTATGGAGCCTGAATTAGCTCCAGAAGCTACAGCCCCAGGGCTGCTGACCACTTGGTATTACCTGGCACCAACTCTCAAACATCTGGGCCTGCTGTCTGTACCTTCACTGTATTCAGAACACGGTTTCTGGAAATGATGGAGAGAAATAAGAGGTGCAGTGTAGGAAGAGCTAGAGGCTATAATGGACGCTTATTAGCTAGCATCTGAGGGAAGTGTGACTGCTTCCTGGCCGTCTCTTCTTACATGTGTAATAGGCATCTCAAAATTTACAGACTGTAGGGAACCAGCAGTTAGCGTAATGGCTATGTCGCTGGACTCCCACGTAGTTGACCGCAGTTCATGTCCCGGACCCGGTGGCTTAAAACTCACGCCAGGCGCGTGTGCGTGCGTGCCCAAGATCCCGAGAGGAGAATGGAGGAGAAGGGATTGCAGTGTGACCATCCTCCCTGGGGGGTGATTTCTCGCTTTCTGTCTCTATGTCTCTCTCTGTCTGTCTAGCGAGCGCACGCGCCCTACAGTGAAAATCTCTCCAAAAAAAAAAAATTTACAGACTGTAAAAGGAACTTGTGATCTTTCCCCAAGCCTGATCTTCTCTCTGTCTTCCCTATTTCTGCCAATTGTAACTCTATTTATCCAGTTGCTCAGGCCAGAAATCTCAGGGTCTTTGTTTGTTTGCTGTAGGATTCACATACTCACTGGAGAGAAATGGAAAGAGAGAGAGAGGGAAAGTGAGAAATCATCCCCCAGGGGATCAACCATACCACAGTCACTTCTCCACTCTCTTCTTGGGATTTTGGGTACTCATACACATGCACCCAGTGTGTTTTTTAAGTCTTCATGTCTGAGACTTGAACTGCTCGGTTAGCCATGTGTGTTATATCTGGAACAGGCCAAGGAACGTGAAGCCAAATGTTGAAAGGGATAGGAAAGAAGTTTATTAAGAGGTGAAGCCCCGTCACAGTGACCAGACACTCAAGTGAGGGTCTGGTGCCCCTCAGCGGGGCAGCAGGGTTTTTATACAGGCAAGTAAACAAGTTACATAAGGCACACCTGACAGAGGGGTTGCTAGGTACTCAACTGCAATGGCAGGGTCATAAGTGCATATACCTCAGAAGAATGGCTTGTGCCTAGGAAACGGGGCCACATCTTTGTCTCAGTGCTGGTTGCCTAGGCTGACATTAAGATGGTCACCAATACAGAGAAAGTGGAGGAACAGTTGTCAGGATAGACTCAACAATGTGGGATCCAGCCTCCTTAACCATCCATGTCACCTGCTGGCCCTGTGAGTCATTCTTAATTCCTCTCTTGGTCTTACACCCCATGTCAGCTTTGTCTACTTTAAAAATCTATCCAGAGTCTGGCTACTTCCTATCACCTCCACCACCATGACCAAACTACTATGATCTACACTGGAACTAGCCTCTTGACTGATCTTTTCCCTGTGCCCCCAGCCCTGCAGTCTATTCTCAACATAGAGCTGGCTTTTTATAATAGTTAACTTTATTTATTTCTTTATTTTAATTTGACCAGAGAGGGACAGAGTGAGAGATAGAAAGAGGGGATGCGAGAAAGCAAATTGCCAGGTCCAGGTCTCAAATTGTGGTCGGCCATGTAGGAGTTCCCTAACCACGGCACCACTTGCCAGTCCCCAGAGCTGGCTTTTTTTTTTTTCAAAGGGTTTTTGCTATAGGGCATGTGTGCTCGCCAGAAAGACAGAGAGAGACAGAGAGACAGAAAGCGAGAAATCACCCCCCAGGGGGGATGGCCATGCTACAATCCCTTCTCCTCCATTCTCCTCTTGGGATCTTGGGAATGCATGCACACACATCCAGCATGAGTTTAAGCCACTGGGTCTGGGACTCAAACTGTGGTCGACTACGTGGGAGTCCAGCAACATAGCCATTACACCAACTGCTGGTCCCCCTAGAGCTGGCTTTTTAAAATGCCAATCAGATCACAGCACTTCTTTCTTCTAAACCTTCAGTGGCTTCCCATTCACTGAAATTAAAAGCTAAAGAGTCCTTACAATGGCTTCAAAGGACTTTCATGATCTGGTCCCTGCCAAACACTGTTCTCATCTGATACATCTTCCCTTTCATTGCAAAACCTGGTCTTTATTCAAAAGATACCTTAACAGTTAAAATAACAACCCTCCCTAGTCCCCTTTTCCTTCCATCTCTATTCACTTTCCCTTCTTTTTTTCTTAAGTTTTATTTCTCCCATTAGTGAGAGACACAGAGAGAGATAGCACAAACAATTGCATTGTCTTAAGAACATGATCCATCAATAGCCTTAGCCAGTCCCAGATTAAGGGCTTGGCACCTGCCTGGGGTACTCAGGGAGATCTCAAGATACAAGCCCAGAACCTTACCATATGGGTCAGCCTGCCAGAGAGTCACCTTTTATCACTGCTCCACCACCCAGCCTCCTTCTTTTTCTCCATAAAAGCTATCACAGACTATATATTTTACTTCTTGATTTTGTTATCTCAGTAGTGCCTAAGCACCACTAGGCTGGGAGATTTGTCTGTTTTGTTTACTCCTAGTGAACCACCAATGCCTAGAACTGGACTAGCCACATGACAGTGGCTTAGAGAGTAATTAACAGGTAGTAATTAAGTTGTGGATTCTAGAGCCTGGACCAAAGGCAGGCCTGCCTGAATTCAAATCTTGACTCTACCATCAATTAGCAAAATACTTAAACTCCCTGTGCCTTAGTTTCTTCATCCACAAAGCAGGGGCAATAATAGTACTTCCTTCACAGAGAGCCTGTAAGGTCATTAATAGGTATAAAGCACTTAGAACAGTGCCTGGCACATAGTAAGTGTTATTTAAACATTCATGATAATTATATACATATGAAGTTAAGATTTATACTAATAGTTTAGTTTCCTAAAATCTTTCAATGTATTATCTTGCACTTGCCCATAGTAAAATCCATTTTCTATGTTTCTGCTCACTTTTATAGACTCATATGTTCTTCCTGTAGTTTAGTTATCTTCAGTGGCATGACTACACATTTGTAAACTTGAATGTTTCCTTGTGTACTCCCTCTTACAGTCCTTACAAAGCTGTTAAACTGTAATCTCACTGGGCCCCAGTTTCCTAATCTATACAATGAATGGGTTGGACTAGATAATCTTTAAGGGCCTTTCCTGCTCTGACAATCTCTTGGGACTAGAGGAAGGTCATGTCTCATTCCAGCCCCACCCCTTGGATATGCCCTCTGGCTGCCAAAGGGAAGGGTGGCAGAGTCAACTGGGCTCAGCTTCAAGGGGAACAGGTAGGAAATGTGCCAAGGCTTTTGGGCAAGGATGGGATGGGGCTTTTGGACTGTAGGCAGGCAGGGGAAAGGTGTCAGATGTAAATGTATTATATTAGGTCATCAGTAAAGTCATGACATATTTTTCTGTTTTTCTGTGCAAAAATGCATTATGACTTTCCTGATGACCCAATAGTATGGTGAAGGCATTATATGGGGAGATACTCCTCTTCACAAAGACATTACTATAATGACAAGTTAGGAGATACTTTGGGTCTGGGCATCTTCCTGCTTTGGGTAGTGCTGGTAGGCCTCCTCCTTCAGCTAGCCAGGATCTTAAGGACAGTCAGTTGCAAAATAAGAACAGGTTAAACCTGCTGATTGCCCTCCTGGGTCCCAGAACTGCCTGCTTTCCACCACTCTCTGGGATGGACCAAGAGAGCTTGGGTAGGGGTTGGGCTGGCCTGGGTGCAACCCAATGTATTTCTCTCGGCTCTCCTTAGTGTTTCAACCAGCCATTACTCTCCCTATTCTCTGCCTTTTTTTGGTCTAGGTTAAGGCTGGAGAAACAGGGAAACCCAGCCACTCTTACTTCTGCCCTTTCCACCTCTAGGGGGACCATGGACAGTGCAGAATTCTCAAAGTTCAGATCACTAAGCTCCAGCCCAGGTCTCGATGACAGTAAGGTGGAGCTGGAGTGCTGGTTTAATGAAGAATTCAAGTTCATTCTACTGCCTGTGAGCTACGCAGTTGTCTTTGTGCTGGGCCTGGGACTCAATGCCCCAACCCTCTGGCTCTTCCTCTTCCGGCTCCGACCCTGGGATGCAACTGCCACCTACATGTTCCACTTGGCATTGTCAGACACCTTGTATGTATTGTCTCTGCCCACCCTCATCTACTATTATGCAGCTCGCAACCACTGGCCCTTTGGCACTGGGCTCTGCAAGTTTGTCCGCTTTCTCTTTTATTGGAACCTCTACTGCAGTGTCCTTTTCCTCACCTGCATCAGTGTGCATCGTTACCTGGGCATCTGCCATCCACTACGGGCACTACGCTGGGGCCGCCCTCGTCTTGCAGGCCTTCTCTGCTTGGCAGTCTGGTTGGTTGTAGCTGGCTGCCTTATGCCCAACCTGTTCTTTGTCACAACTAGCCCCAGGGGGGCCACCATCCTGTGCCATGACACCACTCGCCCTGAAGAGTTTGATCACTATGTGCACTTCAGCTCGGCCATCATGGGGCTGCTCTTTGGCGTGCCTTGCCTGGTCACTCTGGTTTGCTATGGGCTTATGGCCCGGCGCCTGTATCAGCCTTCCCCAGGCGCTGCCCAGTCATCTTCTCGTCTCCGTTCTCTCCGCACCATCGCGGTAGTGCTGACAGTCTTTGCTATTTGCTTTGTGCCTTTTCACATCACCCGCACCATTTATTACCTGGCAAGACTGTTGGAAGCTGACTGTCAGGTGCTGAATATCGTCAACGTGGTTTACAAAGTGACTCGGCCCTTAGCCAGTGCCAACAGCTGCCTGGATCCTGTGCTCTACCTGCTCACTGGGGACAAGTATCGTCGTCAGCTCCGACGGCTCTGTGGTAGCGGTGGGCCTGAGCCCCACACAGCTGCTTCTTCCCTGGCGCTGGTGTCCTTGCCCGAAGAAAGCAGTGG